ATCAAATATTTTCAATATCCAAAAATTATTTATTCAACTAACAGCTGTCATACCTCGTTCGAGTACTAGCTGTCATTAGTGCGAGCGAATACATTGTATATCACCGTCAAAATGTCTGTCGTACTTTAAACACCGCCAAAATGTCTAACGTACTTTGCTATAAACTATTTTCATTTCAATGTGAATTCAAGAGATGTGATTTAATAACGGCGATACGTTTATCATGCATTTGAATGAAATTGTTGAAATTTTGTAGTTTGATATTTTTAAATCTCTATAAATCATTGTTTGGTGGCCCTGAAAAGGGCCGTTCCTTGTACGGTTTGGTGTAAATTACAACGAATTTACTTCGACCTGGTGTATTTGGTAACGGCTTTGGTTCCTTCACTGACGGCGTGCTTCAGTTTCCAGTTGGTCGTATACATCGTTTGTTGCGTAAAGGAAACTACGCAGAACGTGTCGGAGCTGATGCACCAGTGTACTTGGCCGCCGAAGTGTTGGAATTGGCCGATAACGCTGCCCGTGACAACAAAAAGACTCGTATCATTCCTCGTCACTTGCAATTGGCCATCCGCAACGACGAAGAGTTGAACAAATTGCTTTCGGGTGTCAAAATCGCTCAAGGTGGTGTATTGCCAAACATTCAAGCAGTCTTGTTGCCAAAGAAGACCGAGACAAAAAAAGCCTAAACAGTTTATTTTTTACAAAGCGTAAATAAATCGGCCCTTTTAAGGGCCACCAAAATATATTTTATGGGGAATTCAAGAGAAAATCATCTTGTTGTCATTCTACTATTCATTTAAAAAAGGATTAGTAATTTGAGATTTTTATATTTTCATGAATATCAACGTAGAAATTTTGAAGTTCTATTAATGTGTATTGATAATGAAATATTTGATTTATGCCAATTCATAAAAAAAAGTCAGATTGAATAGATTCAATTAACAATTTGATTAGAACTAAAAAGAAAAAAATGCAGTTAAGTTTACTTTGAAACATGGTTCACTTTTTTATTTGGTATCGATTGCAGATCTGAGCATGAAGTAATGTTTATGGCTAATTTTAATCTAATGTTGGGAAATGTGAAGTCGGTGTTTTCCTGATTACAATTTCAATGCATTTTTGCAATCTGGCGGCATATTCACATTTGTCAGTGTGTCGAATCGGTCCACATTGTTTACGAAATTTGTCGGCAATCTTCGGATTATTGACAGTGAACTCCAATGCATCAACATTAAAACCACCATTCCAGATCTGAATTTTGATATCAGTACGAGAAGTTCATGTGATATGTTAAAATTCGAATTTTTTGTTCAGAACAGTATTATACTTACAACTTTCTGTACCGTCATTATACAATTCAGGTAACATTTATCGTCTTTGGTCAATAGGTCCAAATCAAAATCGGGAAGAGTCCTCGATTCGCTTTTGGGGAATTGCTTTTGACACGATCGAATTTGTCTAACTAGGATTTCATTTGCCTTTGAATAAAATTAAACATTCGAATTGTTAGTTTATCGATTTTTTTCAACTAAAATAAATAACTAATAAACAAATTTGAATCGTACCGAAACGGAAGCAAACAAAACACAAGCAACAAAAACGAATAAGCAGAACGAATTCATCTTTTGTTCAAATTCACAAGAAATTTCACAGTACTAGTGCGAATACAGTGAGTGTTCTAAGGAGACTGATGACAATTGCACGATATGCTTGCAATATATATACCAAATAATGAGGGATCTGGGCGAAAACCGGTAAAAATCACTGGATACTATGAAACAATTTAGAAGATTAATACACAATCATTCCACTTCATTACGCATCATTCTTGAGAGTGAAAATGTGCAATTCACTTGAAATCAAAGGCAACATCGTTGCTTGTGAAACATTAATCCAGCTCAAATTTGGTTTTGTTAAATTAAATCCAGACAATTGTAACTGATCATTGTCAACATGTCTGGGCCAATATGGTTGGCTGAGTTTATACGTAATTGAATGGTTTGGAGCCAAAATGTAATACAGAAAAGTTGAGCGGAAAAATATTAAATGAAAAGGAATAGCTATATAGTTCACTATAGTTTACTATACAGTTTACTATATACAGCTATCCCTTTTCCGCTCATTCATCATCGACATTTTTCCGCTCAACTTTTCTGTATTCCATTTTCGCTCCTAACCATTCAATTCGTATCATACTGGATAAAGTTAAATAATGCGATAAATGTAGCAACATAAAGTCAGTTTATACCGACTAGAGTCACTGATCTTGGTTTAAAAATGCCATGTATTACTCAATCTCAAACGAAGTGGCCGTTTAAGTCAATTTTGTAATCAATTTTGGTTTTTACCGTCAACAACCGGTATATGAACATACAGTGCGAGTGAAAATAAAAGTCACGACGATGTGTTGGTGTTTCAATTCTATACAAGATCATCAACCCGTCAGCAGAATCATATGATAGATGACCATAGCAAATATTAAATAATATGAGGATGACACATGACATGATTTTTAGAAAATAATATTTTGATCAAGTTTATTTAGATTCGACTTCGAATATATAGACAGTAGGTAAGGTTTGCATGAAAATGAAACAATTGCAGCTTCTTACAATGCAATCTATATAACAGATGGTGTTTGATTTTCAAAATAAAGGTGAATTTATTTCAAAAGTTTTTCATAAAGAGAATAGTGAAAAATATCGAAACACCGTTTACAGCTCGGAGGAGATTTTGGCGAGTAGGTGCACACTTCTCCTATCACAAAACTGGGAATCTATTTATTTAATCGGCGAAATGTTGTTATTTTTTTTTCGATTTCAATGCATCGTTCTTTCATAATCGGCTAGTAACCATTGCCTGGATTGTGCCATGATACGACAAACCTATTCAACGTGAAACATATTTTTTACTGTCATATTAACCAAATGTTACAGTTAACTCGATTTCTGAACATAGTAACCAGAAGCTTTCAATTGTATTTTTTGTCATACTGATGACCTAGCTGATGAACATTTTCGAAACGAAATATTCAATAGCTTTACAAACTACGATGTGAATAGACAAAATTCCAAAACAAATCTATTGACTAGATCGAGAGGAGAGTATGTGAAAAAATTCGAATATATTTTGAAAGAGGAGAGTATGATTTCTGTTGATTCTATCTGCGTTAAAAGGGAGTATGTTGGCAACCCGTCTAGCCTCCGCGGTTTTTCACGGTTTCCGCGGAACTGATAAAAGATAACAACATGGTGTCTTCGGCAAAGTTGTAGTACTCGAGGTCTTCTATAACATTGCTGAAGACATCTGTCTCTTATCTCTTATCAGTTGCGCGCAAATCGCGCACATAAAAAAGCAAATTTTATATAGAACTTTTTTTTTCTTATCATTTTTCGCGCTTTTCGCGGAACTGATAAGAAATAATTGACTTCAGCAATGTTATAGAAGACCTCGAGTGCTACAACTTTGCCGAAGACACCAAGTTGTTATCTGTTATCAGTTGCGCGGAAACCGTGGAAAACCGCCAAAAATGAACATACTCGCCTTTAACCATTTTTGAGTCGAAAGAAACTTACTCTCCTCTTTCGTAACAAGGTCAGATGAACTTACTCTCCTCTCGATCTAGTCAATAGAAATGAGACAAAGTTCAAAATTTAATGAAAATTTTTCAAAAAATATACATATGATCTGATAATTATATTTTCATTTGTCGATTAAAACGCAAATAATAAAAAATGATGAAAATTAAACAATATGACGGCGATTTTGGTGACATCGATCGAGGCTAACTTTGAGTAACGTCGACCGAAACGTGTAGTTGATTTTATTGGACAGACCACAGAAGCTAAAGAAGGTGATATACCATATATTGCATTGATATAAGAATACTGGACGATTCATGCCGATTTGCACCGGAGCTAACATCTCTGAATATGACGTATTGACCAATGCAGTGTGTGCATCGTCGTGTCAATATCCACCAAATTGCTGATTATATGTTGGGCGATACATGATTAATTCTGGTGGTATTTATCACACATATGTCGAAATGGATACGGTACCCTCTGGATATAATCCCGCACTTCTGGAGTCTATCATTGATTTTGGCATTATTCACACTGAAAAAATTCCATTATGACAAACTATAAAAATCATTAAAATGACAAACCGCAGAGTGAAAGAATATGAAACTGCGATGATTTCCGGTTGGGGATACGAAACTAACCCTAAATTTGTTATAGAAGATATTCCAAAAGTAAGTGCAAATTCTATCAATTCTTTGAGTAATTTTCGTTAAAAAGTGACTATCATATTATTTGAATGAAAATATGCAGCAAAATGAAGTGCTTAAATATGGAGAAATATACAACCACAGTGGAATATGCGCAACTGGAAAGTCTTCAATTGTCCGTTCCGCCATTTCTGATATGGGTGAGATCTTAGTGTTCATTCACCCAATTCTAACTACAAATCGATTTTTTTCCAAATTTTAGGTGCGCCAATGATATATCCGAGTACAACCGAACTGGCTGGATTAGGCAACTTCCGTCATCTTCAGGTAATTATAGAAAAGAACGTTTCAACACATGTCATGATCAATTTTTAATGCACTTGATTTATTTTCATCGTGCAGGCTCCATATGCGGAACATGATATATTTTTCGACGTTTATGTTTACGCAGAGTGGATTCAAAACAACATGTGCGCAAACGACAATACTGTGAATATCGATGTTGTGAACGAAAAAAATCAGTGTTGTTAGATAGGCTGGACAATTGTCCACTTTTGCATAAGCCAACACAAATTATCCAGCTCTCAAATGACGTCAAACGTATTTAAACGCATTCATTGCTTATGGTTGGCTTACGCTTACATTCTGCATAAGCCAGTGAATGGACTACGGTGGCGTATGCCATTCCATTACTGGAAAAAATGAAGTGAAACAGTTGATTATTAAAAGCAGACATTCCGTATGGCTGCATATTGAGCTGAGCTATTTACAAATAGCTGGCTGTTTGGTACATTTTGATTTTGTGACTATCGAGCCATGCAAATTCATGTGAGATGATAAATTTGGGACACCTTTTTCCATTCTTTCCATGAATTTGTGTCATATATTTATCATCTCACATGAATTTACATGGTTCGATAGTCAAAAAAACCAAAATGTACCAAACAGCCAGCTATTTGTAAATAGCTCAGCTCAATATGCAGCCATACAGAATGTCTGATTAAAAGTAGCTCTAATGCATTATTACATCCATTCATTATGAATTTTTCGTTGATTATTTTTGTTCTCTATCGTTTCAAAAATACTCTCAACACTTTAATCATTCATACAGAGCATTATTTGTAATCTTACCTATAAATGAAGACGTGTATCAGGATTTATGCAGTTTTTCTTTGGAATCTTTCTTCATTTCTTACAATTTTCGGCTAAATGTCATACAGATGTACATTAGATTAAGATTCGTCTTTATTTTAATTTTTTTTTTCTAGTGGGACCATGTAAAGATAAACTCAAAAACGAATTGAATCAAGATAGGTTGTATTACATTTATATAGCTGTTTAATTCTGTGGATGTTGCAAATGGGTTATTTGTGAGTGCTGCGCATCGGACATTGATAAATGCTCAAGATTGATGTTGATAATTGGTTTTTCAAGATCGGCCAAAGCCATTGATTTTTCCATTGAGTCATGTAGCACGAATGTTTCGCGAATATCCAGATCTTCAGTTGGTTCATCTAGCAGATGCACGCTGGATTCTCCAATGGTTTTATCGTCCAAAATAATGGACTGATCCATATTTAAAATGCAATCACCTTGAATGCAATCACCCTTAAATCCCTCCATATTATTGAAGTGATCGACGCCAAGAAATTTAATTTCATCATATGCCGATGATGAACTGTCAAGATTCAAGCAGTTATTTATATCGATTACGTTGGCTGTGCTGAGCAGATTTGGTCGGATGTATTGATTTTGGTTCATGACTGGTACAGCCGTCAATGGCGACGACATGGTGAGTTCATGTTGATGGTGCGAGTGAAGTGACATCGTAGAGGTTGGAGTATTTTCGGTGTAATTTGTCCACTCAACACTAATATTATTGCGATCGTCAACACCATCCAGGTTCATGTTCATGTTCATGTTCATGCTCAAGAATAAGTTTGGAGACAATCGTTCTGGCGAAAGGTTTCCAAGCGTAATTTTCGATTCAGGATCTAAATTATGTTGCATCATACCGTTTGCATCATTCAACATTTGATTTGCCGTTAGTTCATCCGTGTGATGGTACGTGTTTTTATGAGGTTGCGTTATTTTGTCATGTTCAGCTATCACTGGCAAATTCTCTGCAACAAATGACATAAATATAGATTTCTATTTCATGGTATTGCTTAAGTAAAATACCCAATTCTGTGGTTTGTCGATCAGCGTTCATGGAAGACTCATAAATGGTATCCGTTTTCATATCATCGCCGTCTTTGATGAAGACCTTTTCTTGCTTTCGATATTTGGCACGCCTGTTTTGAAACCATACTTGAACTCTAGCTTCGGTCAATTCGATACGCAATGCGAGCTCCTCGCGGAAAAACACGTCCGGGTAATGCGTACGATTGAACGCTAAACGATATTTGGAAAGCAAAAATGGTTTATTTTCTCATTGTTTCTTAGTATAAAATCCACCAACACAACACTAACCACGTTCTAATTCCTGCAACTGCATCGAATTGAAAGTGGTCCTACGTGAACAAAACAATAGAAAAGAATTATGGATGATTTAGTAATCTGTGGTTTGATCCACGCTTATGTGTTTCCATAGTCACCTGTATCGTCTTTGTTTCCGTTTCATTTTGTTGTCTTTTTTTCTTTTTTTCTCTCTATGGAATCGCCGAGAGATAGTTGAAATGTTCAAACGTTCATACGCACTCGTTCAAGTGTCTTTTTTTTTATTTTTATTGTTATTGTTGATGATGTGTAATGTATTCGAAACTGATATGGTTTCTTCTACCACTGAACTATTTATTCATTTATATACACATTTGCACTAAGCAAACGAGCAAACACAACAACAAGTAGTGAAAACCGAAAAGTATGTAGATTAGTCGGTGTCAATTGAACAGTGGAGATTTTGTATACTTTTCCACCTATGATGGTGTTAGATGTTTTTCTATTGCTTCGTTTCGTTCATTGAAAAAAACAACAATGACTTTATCATCTTCGCAGACTATTTTCCATTTGGTTTCCTTCAGTTTATCGTACATTTTTCGTGTAACATTTTAGCAAATGTGGTGGAATTTCTAAATTTTGTTTCTCCTTATATCAAAGAAAAACTTTCTAATTTGCCGTGAACGTATAGCATAACCACTCGTAACCGTCTCTTGAGATAAGGGCATACAAAACTACCATTATGTATGCTGAGGACAAAACACTTCCCATGAACGCGAACAACTTCAAAGGTAAGAATATGAGCTTCTTTAACAAAAAAATCGACCAATGCGAGAAAATGCAGCACATCTTGAACAAAAATTGATAGACATTTAAAATGGAATTTTCAAATAAAAACTGATCTACTTTTTCACAATAAAAACTGTTTAGGATTTTCCTTCTTTGGTGTCTTTCGTTCAACGTGGAAATGTCGACTAAATGACCGAACCATTGTTCCGAACAGCTTATTTTCTTGAACATGAAAAAAAAAATCGTGAAAACTTAGAAATGCTAATGTTTCCCACACATATTTACTACCTGACTAATTCCCTATCGTACTTAGAATGGTACGTATATTCGTTGGAAATTTTTGTGCATGTCATGAGTATGTCACATCAACTGATCAAATGTATCAGTGGTAAAAAACGTGGCGTTTTCTACAATCGTCATGAACAAAAATTAATCGAAGATGCATAGGTGCTTTACATTTTGTACCTTTTGGCGTGGGAGAATTTTGCGGTTAAGATTTTACGACTTTTGCACTTTTTGAATGAATGTTTGAAGAAAAGAGCTTAACGAAAGCATACCTAAAAAGTATCGAAATGATTTTCATTTATTATAACTATGTCCTTGTCCATCCTTCCGTCCGTATGATTCACTATAACTTTGATTAATTTCATTTAAATTTACTTTGACTTAGCTTATTCTATCCGTATGCTTTGCATGCGGTTCACGCTAAAAATATGCCTTAAATATACCTTTGACTCTGTATTGAACTATGTATAAAATAAGCGTAAGCGTGAAAATGGTAAAAACGTAGCGTGCGCAGGAAATACACGCGGTATATTTTTAGCGTAGTTTTTTTTATTGAGCTGTGAGACAAACAATCGCCACAGGAAAAGAGGTATGATTCGTATTGCGTATTTTGCTTATTTCACATAAAACAATGTGATGATTGTGCAGTGTGCACTACTGTTATTTTGTTGATTTTTACAATGCTTTGTTGGTTCTCCCATAGGAAAACATCAAAATCAGCAGCAAACGCTATCACTGGGAGGCGAAACAGCCGATTCGGAATCGCAAAGGAAAACGTTTGACTGCAGATTTCACGAAGATTGAGCAAGATGATTTGAAATTGTGACACAATTGAGCCGGCGACAATTGAAAAAGGAACGTGAGAAATTGCGACCAAAACCTAAAGCAGGTGAAGTGGTTGGAAATGCAGCAGAAAATCCAAATCAACAATTGAACAATCGGTTGGTGTCTAAGGTTAAAGTATACCGGAAAAACTGGCGATCAATCATTGAATCAAACGTTGAAACGGAGAATGCAGCTGCACAAGAAGAAGATGAAGCCACATACGTCGAAGATCTGACGCATCTTACTTACGAAGAGGCGGAGGCCTATTAACAACAGAGCAACGCGTCAAATCAGCATCCAACAGTACTGAAAACAGTTTGGCATCGTGATACAGTGGCTGCTAAATGCATCTTATACAAAGGTAATATTTTGATTGGCATGTAGAAATGGAACAGAATATGTTGTTATTATACATTGTTGTTCGTGATTTCAGGTCTTTTTGAGATGTTCAATGGATACACTCCCGACATATTTCTACTGGATCGTGGGCTCCAAATACACTTCGACGAGTTCAATACATACGTGGTTGAGACGTAGTAGAACGCAGCATTATTTTAGTTTTAATTTTGATTTTTCGATTTTAATAATAATTCATGTAACGTTAAGTTATTCTGATGGGAGCTGATTTTGTGCCCCGGCCAAAGTACCTACCGCTGTAACTAAAGCGAAACAGAGTCAAGTCAAATTTAAGATATTTGCTAAGCTTAAGGCATCATCATTCATCAACCCACAGTTTCTAATAAATCCAATGCCGTTATTTTATTTCTTTTCCACCGACGCAAAGACATGCTAAGACGCCATGTCATTTGTGCGACAACAATAGGATTCATAATATTTGATATGTACTATTTATGG